AACACGGTAAATTTTATAGTGTGTCTATTTTGCAGCAAAAGAATTAAAAAGCGGTTCAGTGCGCACTAAGTCAGGAGGAAGGATGGCGTGACTCTGTGTGAGTGTCCAGGTCCGTGACTGCTTTTGATATTTGCCATTATCCACGGTTCCTCCTGCCTTACCTTTCGGCCTGCATAAAACAGTCATTAAGGAATCAAGGATGACACCACGTTGTCTCTGCAATGTGGTGCCATGAAGCCATGACCCTGCCCTCCAAGGGCTACCATTAGGAACGCCAACCCCTGCCTCAATTACTTCAATGGTTTCTCACTGCTCTTGGTAAAAGACGAGGCTCCTTGAAAAGGCCTGGAGGCTTTGCAGCTCTGAGCCACATCTGGGAATGCTCACCAGCGCTCCCTCAGCTCTGCCACCGTGACCTTCCCGCCCTTCACACTGCCGAGATTATTCCTGCTTGAACATGTTCTTCTCTCTCTGCTTAGTTAGCATCTCCATTCTTCAGAGTATGCGCCTACTGTCTCTTCCACAGGAAACATTTCCTCACCTCAGGTCAGGTTAGATCCCCTATGACAGGTCCTTGCAACACCATATCCTTCCCTGGAAGCGTGCTCATATTATTTGTTCAATTATTTGATTAATCTTCTGTCTTCCCTGCTAGGTGATAAGCTCCAGGAGAACAGAAACCCTCTAGTTTTTCTCACCATTGAATCCTGAGCTCATAGAGGGCCTGGCACGCAGTAAGCCCCTTGACCATTATTTGCTAACGAGCGAGTGAATAGAAAGATAACTAACGGAGACTAATTAAGTTAAGGTCTCTTCAAATTAAGTTAAATGTTTATAAGTCAGTTTAGAAGTGACTTGCCCATCCAACACCATGCTGTTCTGGATGCAGGTGTAGGGCTCAAGGGTAGGCTGCCCAAGATGGGCCACTTTGGCATGAAGATTATTTGAGTCAAAAAGCAATCAAACCCCAGCAGATTCAGGAAAAGCTCTTTACTTCCTCTCTCAATTGCATAAAAGAATTTAGATAGAGGACCTGCTCCAGGAAGAGAGCTATCACCGTAAGTAACTACAGTATAATATGAACTAGGTACTGTAGAGAAGGAGGAACCTAGCAAGACCTGTTTGATCAAAGTCCTCTCTTTGCCCCATTGTTTCTGAGTGGCCCAGCAAACATTTGTTTACCAAACATTGACTTCTTTTCATTCTTTCTGAAGATTGCATTTCTTCCCTTTGAAGACTTGGCCCCCTATTCCCTTCTCCTTAGTTCAAGATGATATGTATACCTCATTTTGCCCATCTTTAAAATTTCCATGTCTGTGTGGGGATTTCCCATGAGTATGCTATTAAATTTGATTTTCTCCTGTTAATCTGTCTCGTGTCAATTTGATTCTTAGTCCAGCTAGAAGAATCTTGAAGGGCAGAGGAAATTCTTCCTCCCTAACCTAAAACAAATAGAGAAAATTAAGATCATTCCAAAGCAAGAAATGTAATACATTTTAGATTGACAGTAAAAGGAAACCTATTGACGGTAGGTAGGGGTTCATTTTTACCACATTGCATATCTATGCTGATTTTTTAAAAAAAATTATAAGCACATTTTGAAACCAGAATACATTTGATTTTCTCACACTGGTGGTCATTGATCTGCATTCATATTTAAGAAGAAATGGGGGCGCCTGGGTGGCTCAGTTGGTTAAGCATCCGACTTTGGCTCAGGTCATGATTTCACAGTTCGTGGGTTCCTGCCCCGCGTCAGGCTCTGTGCTGATAGCTCAGAGCCTGGAGCCTGCTTCTGATTCTGTGTCTTTCTCTCTCTGCCCTTCCCCTGCTCAAGCTCTGTCTCTCTCTGTCTCTCAAAAATAAATAAATGAAAAAAAATTTTAAGAAGAAAAGCCACTGAACTCAGGAGAAATCTATTTAACCTGAAAAGTATTCAGAAGTTGCTGGAAAAGCTTAGCTCCTGTACAGTCTAGTGACCTTGTTAAGCAGGTATGTTAAACACTCAAATGTATCATTTTCTACAGGTGTTTTTGGTAAAAACGTTCTTTTTCCTTTTTCATGTCCTACAGGAAACCTCATTATCCTTCTTGTGACCCTGTAGGCCTCTCATTTTCTTTTGGCTTGTTTGCAAGTTTTGAAATATTAACTGCATCTCCTGCTTCAGGAAAGGTTGCCTGGCTACTATCCATTTTTAGAGCGTTAATTCTTTTACTTTGCCATTGCTACTTGGAATAACGGCATTTAATGCATTTTCAAAGAACCCAGGCATAATTAAAAATCTCTTATCTTTATTAAGTACAGCAGTAGTTATTCTCATTTGGAAGACTAAGGAATATACATTGGGGGATATGTATCAATTTTGAATCATGTTGAAACTAAATTAAAATGTCAAAAGGTGTCAGTCATTGTGAAATTGAGGGAAGGAGGCTGTCAGACATAGGATTCCAGCTTTTTTTTCAAATTTATTTTTATTTATTTTGAGAAAGTTACAGAGAGCAAGCAGGGGAGGGGCAGAGAGAGGAGACAGAATCCTAAGCAGGCTCCACGCTGTCAGCACAGAGCCCAACACGGGGCTCGAACTCACGAACTGTGAGATCATGACTTGAGTTGAAATCAAGAGTCCAATGCTTAACTGACTAAGCCACCCAGGCGCCCCAGGATACCAGCTTTTAAGTGAGGTAGGAATAAAGAAGAGTAAATGAGCAAAAATGCCCAAGGGACCGGCTATCAGCTTCATCTCTCAGCTTTCAAAATTATCTAGGAAGGGAAAACTATATAATGGTGAAATTTGTAGCCAATATTGAGGTCTACAAGATAGTGAAATGTTGAGCAACAAAGACATCAAGAAAATTTATTCAGTGGCTTTTTAAAAACATTCTCTAGTAAATTCCAGACACTATGCTCCACTAGGCAGGAGGGAGAACACTGCATAAAACAACTCCCCTGGGGACCTTGAACTATGATATAAATGAACACAGAAAGGCATTTGCCTGCTTTAGCATTTCTCAAAGTGAACGTCCACTGTGAGATGTTAGGAGAGATTACAGCAGGACTTCTCAGACTCTTTAATATATTAATGAACACTGGGAATCATTTCTAAGAATGGGGTAATTATGCAGTGGTTCCTAAATTTATTTGAAGATACCATCTTGGTTTTGTGCTTTTGCTTTACAGTCGTGGGTCTGTTTTTAGAACAGTTTGTGAACTTGTGAGACCAGTCTAGCCTGAAACACATGCTGGAAAATGCTAACATGAAAAATAGAGACATATTTGAGCTTTAAAGAATTTTAGAAATCTCTTCATCAAATATTTACTAAGTGCTTGAATCACTGAGAAACGGTATGAGGCAGCTCTAAAATCCAAAGCCTTTTCATAGGGGCTAATAGCCAAAAAGCGGAATGACTCAAGTGTCCATCAACTGACAAGTGGTATATTCATATAAGTGAATAGTATTCAGCCATAGAAAGAAATGAAGTGCGGATACATGCTATGGCATGGATGAACCTTGAAAATGGTATGCCAGGTGAAAGAAATCAGATATAGAAGGCTACATATCATACAATTCCAGTTACACAAAATGTGCACAACAGGTAAATCCAGAGACAGAAAGCAGATAGTGGTTTCCAGAGACTGGGAGAGAGGGGATGAGGTGTGTCTGCTAATGAACATGCGCTCTCTCTTAGGAATGAGGGGAATGTTCTGGAATTAGTGACGATGGTTGAACTACCTTGTGAATATACTAAAAGCCACTGAATTTTACACTTTTAAGAGGGTGATTTTTATAGCATGTGAATTTTATTTCAATTAAAAAAAATCTGAGTCCCCACCATACCGAATGGTTACCCCTCCCATATTATAGGAACTGAGAACAGCACAACCTTTTCTTGTCAACAATTATATTTAATGAAGATACTGTTATTTACAGAAGATATACATACATACAATTCCTACACATTAAATGTAGCCTAATTGTGAAAAGAGGAAAAAATGTACTCCAAAATTACATACTAAATAAAATAAATAAAAAGTAATCATTTGGCACAATATCTATTATATAGCAAATAAATAACTCTATACCATCGATTGAATGAACTATTTACAATCTATTTGAAAGTGCAAAACAATTGCTGAAAATTAAGATATCTGTAATAACATTTAAGTCCAGAAAATATGTGTTTTTTTAGTCAGTAACAATAATTAGCCAATAGTAAAGATTTTTAATGCCCAGGAAAATATTTTAATTTTGAAAAATGTTTTGTGCATATTGTGCTCTTTTGAAATGTTCTTTTCTTATCTTAACGCTGGCAATTTTTAGAACCTTGGAGTTTCTTAGTGGAATTCTTATGTATGTAATCCTGATTTGTGAGTTTAAAAAAGTTACATTGTAAACATAAATATTATTCTATATATCATCCAGAAATTATGGACCAGTCCTCCCTAAATTACATCAATAGCCATAATGTTTTATAGTAATGTGGTTGGGTTCAATTCCTTCAGAGGTAAGACTATGAAGATGCTAGAATACAAGTTATGGTTTGGATTTGTGTGATTCCTCAACACCTTCCAAGACCCCCATGCTCCAAAATCAAGGTTGAGATAAAATTGTGAAACTATACCACCACAGCATTTGTAGCACATCTCACTCGGCCAACTCTCTGAGAAAAACTGTCAGGGGCTTGATATGTCTCTTGACAATGGTGTTTCTACCATTATCATCGGGACTTAATTTATGTTTCAGCAAAGAGGATGGCACAATTGGAAATAAAATAGTGTGACTACAAATCGGAGATTCCTATGCTAGAGTGTGAAAGCTTTATGCAAGTCAAAGAATTTCTTCTCTTACTATGACGCTGGTACGCTGCAGCCCTGACATGTCTCAGGGTGCGTTTCTGCTTGTTTTGTAGAATTTTCTAGTGACAATACAGTCAGTAGTAGCATAAATGGCATTTTTGAAAGACTGTGGACTGGAGGCAAACCATTGCTCTGGGCACTTTAAATGTCTACGGTCGACGAGGCTCTAATCTGTGTGACATCTGTGATAAAGTTCTCTGGTTGTCAATCACATTTAATTGCCGGACATAACTCCGGACATCCTGATGGTTCTTATTAGCTTGAGCTGCATCAGGATCTGTTGAAAGAGAAGAGAGCAAATTGGCATTGTGTAATATATGCATATAAGATACAGCTTTATTTTCTCCAATTATTTGTTACATTTACCATGGATTCCAAGTTTCCATTGAAACCTTTCAACATACCATATTCATTGAAATGTTTCCACTGGGATATTCCATCTCCTCTCTCCTACCCTTTTCTTCTCTGGAATCACCTATTTTGGTAATTTTCCTTTGTGATAAAAAAATGGCACCAAATTAAAGTGAAAGCATCACCTGATAGCCCCTGGTTATACATTAAAAATTGCTTCCTCTTTCCATCCCACCTGTGTCTCACACTTAGCTCTCTTCTCCCTTTGATACAGACAAGGACTAATGGCAAAAGACGTAGTTTTTTTCTTTTTTAAAAAGTTTTATTTATTTATTTTCGACACAGAGAGAGAGTGGGAAGGGAGGAGAGAGGAAGAAAGAGAATCTCAAGCGGATAGGACAGAGCCTGATGTGGGGCTCGAACTCACAAACCATGAGATCACGACCCGAGCGGAATCCAAGAGTAGGACCCTTAACTGACTGAGCCACCCAGGCGCCCCAAGACATAGTTTTCAGTAGCTCCTAACAAAAGTGCTTAACACCTGGGCTGAACTGAAGCAAGCCAGTGAGATTAATAAATCTGACTCTCCTTGTTACTTGCAAAGAGTATACAGTATCACTGCATAGATGTGTGCTCTTCAAGACTGTTCACATGTAAGGAAAAGCTCAGCTCATGCGCTGAAGTCATAACTTCTGCTAGACCTTCGATTTCCTGATGCTACTTGTTTGGAAATCCCAATTACTATTCTAGTCTCACCTACTTCCCCAAGCATGTAAGCAGTGGAGCCATCTGAAGTTCACAGATTTCTCCAAAACCAGGCTGAAAGAAGAATCAAATAAGTGTCCAGAGCCCTCTGCAGAGAATATATATGGGTGAGGAAGGCCAAATCTGACAGTGGTGAACTGGAAACCCAGGTCCCTTTGAAAGTGACTATTCAGCTCCCGCATGATGCTGCTGTCTGGGAATCTGCATTCTGAGTTGCCAGATCTTCCTATTTTTCTAGAGAAATGAGAAGTCTGGATTTCTTTCCTGGAATTTTTTAATGGCAACATTATTTCCAAATAAAAGGGGAAACGTGTTCTGTGTAGACCCAACACTTCTGCTGTGGTCCATGGGCTACCTCTGCCCCATGGATCACCAGTAGGGGGCTCTTTTCTAAGCAGGGCACTGACATCACTCCCAAAGACAGAATGCCATCTGCATATGGGGTGGAGGGTAGTGTTGCAGGTCTGAACACAGAATAGCAGAGAGAAAATACAAAGGCCCTTACTTGCTTTAGGAAGAAACTCATCAGTATAATTATCACATATAAATAATACCACAGTGTTTAATTCCTCGCTTTTTCCCTGGCAGTGTACTCTATATGTACAATATACTGTAATTACATTGTACATATTCCCACAATGTTTACAAATCTATTCCTATAGCTTTATCTATAGACTGTTGACTTCAGAGCTGAGCAGCTGTTGTTTACCAGCAGTTACTGATAACTTCAACATATGCAGTGGATATTGTGTGTGTGTGTGTGTGTGTGTGTGTGTGTGTGTGTATATATATATATATGTATATATATATATACGCACACACATATATATAAAATCCCCCCAGCCCACCCCCACTTTTCTAGGAGAAGATGTAGGAGAATGTAGGATTTACTTCCAAAGAAGCTTATGGAGCAAAACATATTCTATCACAGTTCTTCGATCTCACTGAGAACCTTCCCAAGGCTACAAACCCTCTCAGGCACAGAAATTTTGTGTTTCATTTCAGGAATTTCCTAGAGCCCCAAAGGGCCATGGGTTCATGGGCCTTGTTGTAGACTGACATCACTTATATATTCTCATATTTCACTTGTATGGCTGCGTTAAGACCATGTCTTTATACATACAGTAAATTACTAGATGAAGAGATGTGAGACATTTTAATCCTTGCAGAATCCACGCAGGAACGGTTGACGACATGCAAGACTATTCCCATTTTGGAAGGAAGAGGAGGCACAGTCATTTGAGTAAAATTTTTAAAGGGCTACTTGCTCCCTAAGGAATGATTACTTTTCATAGATTTTTTTTCCCCCTCTGTACATTAAAAAGTCAGCAGTTTTCAGTTCTGGCATCCTGCGTTAGCAAACCCTCACTTTGAGCCAGTCCTGGGCTAGGGAGGGTAAAGACAGCTCTGGTTAGTAAATTGAGAAACTTTTAGCCTCTTTTAGCACAAGGTTTATTGGAAGGGACAGTACTGGTAGCCTCAAAGTCACGTCCATCTCAAATGATCATGTTGGCTTAATGAGCCAAATGACTTCAAGTGACTCATACAATGAATTTAGCAAAGAACTTTTATAGGGGCCACCTTCTGACTCCCAGCCCAGCTCGAGGGAGCCAAAGCTCCACCCCCACCCAAAGTCCCAGCCCAGGAGACAGCAGCACTGGTCTGGCGAGCTGATCTGGTTCTGTGATGCAACCTAATCCCCATCGGTTTAAGGTTGCTATTTATTATTGGTAATAGTTTTATATTAAAGCATTGTATGGCAGCAGTTATTTTGCTATATGTTCAGATTTAGGAAGAACATCTTAAATTCACCTGAGAATACTAGAAATAGAATATGAATTCCTGCTATGGGACCTTTTACAAATGTGTTATACCCATTAATGCATTCTTGCAACACCCCAAGAGACAATAAATATTATCTTTCCCAGTTTATAAACGACAGAACTGAGTCATCAGGAGTTGATGTGAGTTTCTCAACATCAAGCAGTGAGTCATAAAGAGTTGCTTTGAGGCAGGATTCGTTGGTGATCATGCCTTAGTCGTCTCTAGTCACACTAGAACGAGCAAATTTATTCTCTTTAAGTTCATTCATAAAATAGTATTTCTATGGTTAGTTTCTAGTTCTACAGCTAGAAAATCCTTCAACTCAAGGCCTCTATCCCATGAGAATTCATGGTCCAAAGTGCCCCTGACACAATCAAATACTACCCAGACTTCTAGAATGTCTCAGTAGCCTCATTAAAAAGGACTTAATCACCCAGATCTAGATTGCAGCACACGGTAGCATTTAACTTACTGAAGGGCTGGCTCCTGCAGTATCTCACTGTTCTGGCAGTATTCGCAATCATGCGCTAAAAAGAATAGAGAAAAAAAGGAAGAATGAAATGCAAGTAAGCTTAGTGTATAGTCCATAAAGGAAACCAAACCATGATTTATTTCAGTAACACCTGAGCCCGTGAAAAACATTCTGTTCTGAGACATTGACTATCTGGAGGCAGCTGGTTGATGTAGAACAGGTTTCATTACTTGAAAGAGGCATCTATAGTCACACATACAAGGCACTTCTCAGATGAGGAGTACTAATGGCATAATTCTAGTTGAGTTGTTTGTGCCTCTGACATAAAAATCAGTCTGTTGTTTCTCAGACTGTGTCTTACTCCTCAGGACTCGTTTTCACCATCCCTTCCCAGAGGTCACTGTGAACTTGTAAGCGAATTTGTGACTATCCGAGATTTGGAGAGGGTTAGTTTATCAAGTGCCTCATAAGAAACAGGACTCAGTAATGAGGCATTAGATTAGACTGAATATAATCAAAATATTCTACCTATACATTTTTCTGAACACTGTGCATTACTGACCCTTCTAATCTTCCAGCCAAAGTGTGTGTTTTAATGTTAATCTCAATTATCTGATTTCCTCTCTCCTTCCTTCTTCTTCCTTTCTGATCATAACACTAATGCGTGCACATTTGAGAAAATGAATAAAAGTTAAGAGCAAAGTAGAAGTCACTTAGAATACACCTCACAGAGTCACTTTATTAATATTTTAGTACAATTCCTTCTAATGCTTTAAAAATAAGTAAGTAAAAATTTTTCAAACAATTGAAGTCATATTTTACATATGTATTTCTGTTGTGATATACATTTTTTTCACGTGGCATTGTGACTGTTTTCCATGCCACTTGCTTTTTCAAGCATTTTTTTTTTTTAATTTTTTTTTTTCAACATTTATTTATTTTTGGGACAGAGAGAGACAGAGCATGAATGGGGGAGGGGCAGAGAGAGAGGGAGACACAGAATCGGAAACAGGCTCCAGGCTCTGAGCCATCAGCCCAGAGCCTGACGCGGGGCTCGAACTCACGGACCGCGAGATCGTGACCTGGCTGAAGTCGGACGCTTAACCGACTGCGCCACCCAGGCGCCCCTCAAGCATTTTTAAAAAACGAGTAGGTATTCAACTTTATGGATGGATGGTAACTTATTTAACCTTTGTTAATTTTGTCATTAAGTGATCCTCTCAGTTTCTTTGTAATGTTTTGGTTGCCATAAAGACTTACAAGTGAATTTTTTATATTGCACTCAACTTAGTTTAAGACAAAAGAAGAAAGGAGGAAAAATACGAAGGGCAGACACATGGGGAAAAACATCCATGAGACCATTTCTCAGCCAGAATGTATGCACATTTCTTGCTGATGGTATTTGAACAGCAGCTGGGACCCCCAGACTCTGTGTATTATCTCAGGACACCTTTGCTGCTCAGACTCTAAAGGGGGTCCCGCGGAGATGGTGGATTAATTCTAACACGAGCAGAAAATTGATCAGGCTCCAGCCAGGGAAAGAGATTTTCTTATCTCTGAGTGGCCATGTAATTCTAGTCCTTGCTTTCTTCTCTCATGGACCCTTGGCTTGCCAAAGTATACAAAATGACTGAGAAATCTTCTGTAGTGTTAAAACAGACAAGCAAACAAAACCCCAACTTATTTGACAGGGAAAAAAAACTCACAGAAGAGTCAAAGCTTTACAAGTGTATGTGAACACTGATCGCAGCCTGCTGAATACTGAGGTTTTGCGGACTCTGTCAAGCATTAAGTGACATGCGTCTGCACTGGGTAATTTCTCATACACAGAGAGGCAATCGGAAAAGTTTGAACGTCATTTTCATAAAAGATCCTAAAAATCAGCATGTCTGTTGGTCAGCATGTGAAATATACTACAAATACCTCCAGGAAAACGTAACATACAATGTAGAATTAGCCTCTGATATATGGAGCCCTGAAATAAACAGTAACTATGATAATTTTCCTGCTAATTTACTGTAAGTTGTTTTTTCACTTCTGTAAAGGCTTTGCATCGGAAGGGCACGAGTATATTCTGTGTGGAATTATTGTAATTCTTCAGATACTGAATGGAGTGTAATTACTGAAAACCCAGGGAAATGCTGCCAGAGTGCCCCTCTGAAGAATAATAAAACAATTAGCAGGGGTCAGAAACCTCTTCCTATACCATTTTGTAGGGAGTAATTGTTCTGCTTTTTAGTTTTGAAAGCTAAAACATTTCATTCTGACTTCGGTTTTAGACTACTCTTTACAGCTATACTCTGAGGCTTCATAATTTTTAGCTCATTATGTGGTTTAAAATGTGAGAACAATTGTTTAAATCAGTAATTTCCAGCTCTGGAGTTCATTCTACCTTTCTAAATCTTTGATTAATTCTAACAATGGTTTTAATTTTGACGAATCCTTTTTAATTGTACTCAGAGGTAACTTCAGTTTAACTTTGAAATCCAAACCTGGCTTTGCAACAAGGCCCATTGTTTTCCTCCGTGAGGTCCGCAGGGAAACGCTGCAATATGTAAACCCTCGGTAACCGCCTGTGAACCCCACCAGCACTGCCAGGCGATGCATAGTTACGGAATGCTTTCACAAGGCCAAAGAAGGGTTAACTTGGTATTTTGACTCCACCCTCTTTTGCACCCATGGACACCTGCACTATGCTGTTAACAGCTGCACCCAACTACCAGGCTCTCTCCTGGGTTGCCAAAAGAGGCTTCAGAAGTCCCCTTCTTCAAGTGTTTGCAAGGTGCATAATGCCTTTTATAGCCTGCCTGTCAACAGCAGCTTCCCACCGTTTGGATGCATCCAGCGAGAGCTACTCGTTCTCGCCAAGGCCAGCCCCTTCCATTTTTAGACATTTCCAACTATTAGACATTTCTTTATCATTCTCAGTCAAAGTCACTTTCCCTCTGCTTTTCACCCACCGATCCTCGTTGTGAGCTCTGGAGCCACAGCATATACATTTAGTTCCTTCTTATCAGGACAGTTCTTCAAACACGAGAAGACAACCATTGTGGATGTCTCCCCACCTCCCAAGTCTTTTCTGGTTCAATCTATATATTGCCAATTCTGGGGCACCTGGGTGGCTCAGTCAGTTAAGCACCTGACTCTTTTATTTTTTAATTTTTTTTTAACGTTTATTTATTTTTGAGACAGAGAGAGAGACAGAGCATGAACGGGGGAGGGTCAGAGAGAGGGAGACACAGAATCTTGAAGAAAGAGTTCAGGCTCTGCTACCACACACAGAGCCCCATCTAGGGCTCAACCCAATTTGTAGTAGAGATTGATCATGACCTGAGCTGAAGTCGGCCGCTTAACCGACTGAGCCACCAAGGCACCCCAGCACCTGACTCTTGATTTCGGCTTAGGTCATGATCTCTCACGGTTTGTGAATTTGAGCCCCGCCTCGGGCTCCATGCTGACAGTGTGGAGTCTGCTTGGGATTCTCTGCCTCTCTCTATCTCTCTCTCTCTCTCTGTGTGTGTGTTCTTTGCCCTCCCCGTTTCTCTCTCTCCCCTCAATGTCAGTTTAAACCAAAATAAAATAAAAGTTGTGAAGTATTTCCAATCGCTTTAACAATTTTCCATAAGACCTGTTTGGGTCTCTTTAAGGCAGTCTCTAGCACGGTGCCCTGGATTAAGCAAATCACAGAGTGCAGAAGAATTATTTTCCTTCCTTGATCTAGATGATGCTACAGGTCTGAGTCCACAATTTAAAGAAAAGTCACCTTACTGACATCTGTTGAACTACTAGCGGATAAAACCTCCGAACCCATTTCATTGAGCTGTTTGGACACAGCTTCATTCTCTGTAGATGTGCAGTTGATTTCTTGGCCCAAAGTGGAGGATTTTGCATTTATCTGCTTAGAGTCTTTCTATCCTTCTGCAGACTTAAGCCTGCATATGTTGTTTGTATTTAAAATTTTTTTCAATACGGTTTGGCTTTTGGGACAGAGAGAGATGGGACAGCATGAACGGGGAGGGGCAGAGAGAGAGGGAGGACACATGGAATCGGCGAAACAGGCTCCGAAAGCCATCAGCCCAGAGCCTCACGCGGGCTCGAACTCACGGACCGGGCGAGATCGCGGATCTGGCTGAATGGACGCTAACCGACGCGCCACCCAGGCGCCCCCTTACATGTTGTTTTTGACGGCAAACAGCCATTCATTCACTGGTGTTCTCAGTTAAGGTTGGCAGAAACTAAGGTTAAAGAGAAACACAGGCTTTGTTATCCAACTACCACAGCAGGGATGAAGCCAAAGATTATACCCTAGGCTCGCTGATCCTGCCGGAGCAGGCTGGCCCGCCTGGAGCAGGCCAGGCAGCTTTCCTATAATGCCAGGCGGTGGGGAAATACTTGCTTACTCCAAGGCAGAGCCTCCCATCTCTTTCCCCCATCTCAGCAGCCCTGAGGTTTATGACACACTCCCTTTCGAAACTGGCTTATTAAAATAGCAGTTTGTACGTGGGGGGTGAAGTGAGGAGAATATGCTCCTTTCGAAGGCGCTCTCACCATCAGTATAGGTGGACGGCGTGACCCCCCCACTCCACACCTGAACTGATTTTGATGTGTCCCCACCACCCCCACTGGGAATCTCCACCTCAGAGTTGCAAGGGCCCTCGCCAAGAAAGCAGTCCACAGTTAGAAGTTAGAACCTTGGGGTTCCACGTTTCAGATCGCACACAGCCACCCCCTTTTTCCAGAGACTAATTCTAGGTCCAGGTCTTCAGCGCTTATTTGCACAAATTAATATGTTCGTGCGGTTCCTCACCCGGGAGGCTAGGAGATGGGCCCACAGGAAGGCTGATGAATTTCCCTCAGGACATGAACTCATGGAGGGAAGCTCAGGAAGAAAAAGGAGGTAGCAAGCCAAGGACTCTGTAACTACCCTCAAGTTCTTATTTCTTTAGCTGAAAACAGAGCGATTCAGAAGCAGAAGTCTCTCCCAGGGCCTGCCTTACAAGATGCCCAGTACAAAGGTGCTGTCCATAGGAAGGGGCGAGTGGCTGTCTGTACTCC